GGGTCTGCGGCCGCTCGGGGGTTCCCGCCTGCTGCTGCGCCGCGTTCGGGGCTGTCCCCCTACGCACTGGCTGCCGCGGACCCAGAGACCAATGTGGAAAAGATTTCTTTCAAAAAAATAAATCCTTACCAAGGACAATGGGGGGCAAACAAGTCAGAGGGTAAAAATCTACGAAGGGCTTTCCAGTGCTACGAACGGGGACGAAAGGTACTTAGGTGGGGGCTTTTTTCAGATATCGAGCCCACCACCCCATAAGGACATGACTGGGCATGCAGGAGCCCAGGTATGCGAGGTGAGAAGTGAGTAGTTGTGTATCTCCGGCCTGTGCCTACGCCTCAAGGCGAGTCCTCCTGAAGTTATTTATAGGTACAGGCCCGGCTTGATTAAATGGAGAGCCCTCTTCTCCGGGGTAATTTGCCTTATGTCAAGAAACACCAAGGAGCAGGGCTGCTAAAGAGGTGTCCAGGTCATGAACTGGTGTCTCTGCGATGCTGGCCAGATCCTGCCAGATCCCGCCCGGGCGGGCGGCTTCCAGCGAGGAGTGGCAGCCGCAGGGGCCGGGGCTGTCGCTCTGGTCCTGCTGCTGGAGGAGCTGGCTGAGAAGACAGGAACAATTCTATGATCCTATGAATGCTCTTTGCAGGCTCCCACAAAATGAGGAAATCAAGACGCTGAGCGGTGGGGCAGGCCTAGGCTTATTATAAACCACATTGGTGAATTTGGGTCCTCACTATCTCTCTTTGACAAGTTACGTGGAAGAAAATACAGTTTTCAATATTCAGCATGCAAAATCCTCCTTTCTCCTATAAACAAGAACATTTTGCAAGCAGTAGAAGTAGTCCAATACTGAACATGCTTGGTTCCTGCCCCACCTCTTCCTCAGCATCACCTACTCGTATGACAGCAGAGATGCTTTTGGCATGCAAGTCCAGGGGAAGCTACTAATACCATCGCTGTGAAAGTACCTTCTACATGTTGAATAAGCATGTAGTTTGTGTTCAGGCATTCTCCACCTCACAGCAAGGAGTAAAAGTTTACACAAACATCACAAGAGAACGCTCTGTACAGATTTTTCTTACTTGTGAAATACATGCTAGGTAGGTCTGTTACAAACAACTTGTAACAAAATAAAGAAAACCAGTAACTTACAGAAAAGCTCTACCCTGAGCAGTAGGTAGCTCTGATGGGAGAGTGATTTATTTCTTCTTAGACTTGCTCATGAGGATTCAGAGTGTTCTTCAGTGTTGGAAACGTGGGTTTGCTAATAAGGGAAGCGTGTTCTCTAGACCAGATGAAGGGCTTGTAATGCCTGGTATTATTAGAGCAGCCAGAAGTGACAGCTCAGTGCCAAATGCCGAACACAGCTGCCTTGGTGCAGCTTTGACCAAATAGGCTGTCTACGGAGGGAGAGGGGAAAACAGCTGGAGGCGCTGCAGAGACCAGGCTCACTCTAAGAGAGTCGGTAGCAATGACCCCCCAATTATTTACCTGAGACCCTGTTAGGTAAGAGGGTGCTGGTTACCGTGCATTGAGGCCAGCAGGCAGGGTGCCATGGGAAGACCCAGTGCCAGGTGGCCACTGACTCCAGGGAGGAACCAAAAGCCCACAGCCTTGTTGGTTTAGTGGGGCATGCTATTCTCTCTGCTGTCCTTTTTCCTCTTCCTCTTTAACTCGTTCGTTCTTTATGAAGCTAGGCTGTTTTGCTACATGCTTTTGAACACCAGTTACTTGTCTTTTTCATGGGTAAAATTATTATTCTTGTTCTGTCTGTGCCTAGGACAAGTCTCACTTCTCATTAACTAGGTCTTA